ACGACTTCAAGACGATACTTTGTACACTGAAGATGATCTGCAAAAGTATAAGTCTAAATTGTTAGCAACAAATGCGCACAAACGATACCACATTGTAACCAATCCACTGTTGGCTAACAGAGGATACAAGTACAAACATGTAATCAATCTTTTGGTGTCCACAACGAAACATGGAAAATCCGGAGAATGGTTATCGAGCGCCATGATGCTAACTGGAAATAAAATCGAATATGTTCACTGACACGATACCAATGAACTGGTAGGTCGTCTGCGATTGCTCGAAGCCTCTAGTCAGGCTGGCAATGACGAGCATGAAAATGAAATTTTATCTATTATAGAAGAACTTCGCGAAGAGGGTTTGATTATAAATTAAACAGCGCGGCATTGACACGAGTCAGTCAGTCAGTGGATGCTGCATCGAAAATGTCGCTGAATAAGTTTGGAGTATCGCAAGAAGATTATGCCTCTGATGGAACGCAGCAACGTAATGAAGAAAATACTCTTTGTCTAAACGAGGCCGAAGATTTTGACGCACAATATCGCAAGATACAAAATGTAGCGCAACCGGAAACCAACAATGATGTTGCAACCAAACAATATGTGGGTGAGCGTTTCGCAAAATTTGAGACTGATAGTATAAACAACATTGCGCGTAAACACTACATACAGGATAATGCTCTTTGTCTGACTACCGATCGTAAAATTTTGACGCAAAAGGAATCAATATACGACATGTACCATGGCCGGAAGCTATAAGTATCGTTGCACACAAAAATTATGTGGATGAGAATGTTAAACAGTGGAAATAGCAGTTCGCAAAGAATGTGGCAGAGAACATTGAAACGCTGAAATATCGATTGGAAGAAGATATTAAAACGTTGAAGGAGGAGGATATTAAAACGTTGAAAGAGAATATTAAAACGTTGAAAGATCAATTGAAAAAGGATATTAAAACGTTAAAAACTGAACAAATATTAATCGAGACGAAAATCAGGGGAAGTATAAATGATCTTCATCAAAACATCGATTTGTTATTTGATAAGATGGGTGAAAAATAAATCTAAAATAAAAGAAGAAATACTAATATGATAGAAGTACTTAAACGTATCAAGAAAAAAAAATNATAGTACAGTTAAATCACTATACACATAGACATCATAAGCATGAGAAGACGATCATCCTCCGTAATGGCGAAGAAATCATCAAAAGTCGGCAAACGGAAGAACGAAAAGCAGCGGCTCGGGGACGAACTATACGCTTCAGCGCGAAAGAATTTTCCACTCAGACGTGTCATCGTGCGCGAGTACGACAATCTGTGGCAGGCTGATGTGGTAGAGAAGCGTCCTTACGCGCGATTCAACAATTGTCATCACTATATACTTACGGTTATCGATGTGCTTAGCAAACATGCATGGGCCGCATCTCTCAAGACTAAGAGTGGAAAGGAAGTAGCAGATGTTTTCGCACAGATAATTCGAAATGATGGTAGATGCTGGAAAAACCTCCAAACCGATCAGGGCAAAGAATTTTACAACGCTGATGTGCAGAAACTTACAAAGAAACTCAACGTTAATCATTACTCTACGTATTCCGTCATGAAGGCATCGGTCGTGGAACGATTCAATTGCACGTTGAAGAACGACATGTGGAAAATGTTTACACTCTGAGGAACATACAAATGAAACGACATCTTGCCGCGTCTAGTGTTCGAGTACAACGGACGTAAGCATCGGACTATCGGTATGCGTCCTATAGATGTGACTCCAGCGATTGCAGAAAAACTCCTGAGTACGGTGTACAGCAACGTAAAAATCGCAGCGCCTGCAAGATTCGAAGTTGGTGACCATGTACGTGTTAGCAAATTCAAGACTGTCTTCGAGAAAGGTTATACACCGAACTGGACAACTGAAGTGTTTAAAATTGTGAAGGTGCAGCGTACTAATCTGGTCACTTATCTGCTGGAAGATTCTAGTTGAAAGTCTATCGCCGCAGTATTTTACGAATGTGAGTTGAATCGCGTTGCTAATCCTGACGTATACCTCGTGGAAAAAGTGTTGCGCAAGAAAGGTGACAAGGTTTATGTGAAATGGTTAGGATTTGACAATTCATATAATTCATGGATAAACAGGGATAATGTGTTGTAAAAAAATAAGTTTTATTATAACCTTTTGTATTACAAACAATATATATGTCTTATTCTACAAACATGTATGAGTAATATTTTCTCTATTATTTCAAATGAGTGCTACATATAAAAAATGCGTGAATAACTTTAGCGGTATATTATAATATCCCCATGGAAACGTGTCGATTGAGTCTGGTATGATATACCGCTTGTCATCGTATGGACTTAGAGCGATTTTATTTTCAGACACTGTATAGACTTTGTGTAATTTCGATCTAATATACGATTGTTGACGACTTTTTTCGACTTCATCTCTCAAACATTGTGTATAATCGTCAAAGGTTATCTTTCGCGCTATGACACTACTTTTAACGCCTTTGGCCTTTTTCGTATCTTTTTTCCCGTCTACTTTCAGCGCGTACATTTTCGCTCTAAGTCCGACGAATTCTGTCATTATAGCTCTGTTATTTTCATCTTTCATCAAGCCCGGAACCTTCCTATTTACAACCAGTATATCGTACTCGTTGTCAGCAAGATAATCACTTGTATCGAATTAATGAATGTTGCGTTTTATGTGCTTATAAATGTCTTCGCATTTTACGTGTTAAATTAGACTGTCGGTGTCGGTGTACATAATTTTACATTTTTCGCGATATGTAGGAGACATGTACTCGTGGTGAAATTCATTCAAGCAAACCTTTGATATGTCGAGGATGCACATACCAACATAGATCGGCTTGTTGAATTTCACTTCGAGTTTTCGTAATTCGACGGCAATTAAATTTTCGGCGAAAATGCTTCGGCGATGAAAATTTGGTTTCGCGATCATTGCCTCGGCACCGTACCGTCCATCCCATTTTGTCAACATTTTCACATCTACATGATTGCGTATATTTTCCATCGTTTTTCCAAATACAGCATTGTTCATTAACATATACTAATTTTTCTCGAAATTATTCGTAGCTTCTCTTCTAAACTGTGTATTTAGTTCGATGTAATCGCGGAGCCACGGAGATTGAGTGAATTGAAGTATACGGTGTATCTTTGTAATGCGAAGACCGTGACGCGTGCACTGCAGGTTGCGATAATGAATAACATAACGCTGCTTATCGTATAAGGTTGCCAATAACTTATCCTGTCATTTACCGGGTGGTTTGACGTTCGTTGGACAAAACGGTAGGTAAGCGTGAGCGTCGTGCAAATGTTGCGGATATTCCAGATCGAGAATATAACCTATGGGAAGCGACAGCGATTGAAGATACATCAAATGTTGAAACATGTGTGACCCATTGAAATTCGGCGTGAGGCAGCGGTTGACACATTGCCCAACAGTACAGATTGTTTACGTCAAAGTACATCAAGTACGACGATGGTTTCGATGGATCGTAAGACTGCATGTACTTGTTATTGGCCTGTGCGTATCTACTGGAAAATTGACTGAGACCGCCTCGTATACCACGTTCGATTAACATGACCTAATCAATATCTGTGAACAATTCAAAATTTATGCCGGTATGTTTTAACATAGCATCCCAAGTGAAACCCGGTAAAGTATAATAATGTGCAGGATCTAATCCGTAACTTTTGATGCAACTATCCCGGAAATTTTCAAAAATATCGGCTAATAATAAGACATCAGTCTTCAGATATAAATCGCTGTATTCACCCAAGGTTTCAATAGAGAATCGTTGCCAGACGTTCGCAGCGTGCGCGTAATCGCTCTCTGATACCGTATTACCCGTCAACGAACTATAAAACAATTCTCGCCGTGGTAAACACGGGTCCTGCAACTTGTCCGCGCAATCAAGTTATTCATATGGAAAAATACCCTTTTGCGTCAATAAATCGAAATCGAATATATTTGAAAATGTGTACTGTAAAATTTTTAATTTTTCTTTGCTGAAGAAAGATGCTAATTTTTCGAGACTGGTATTTAGAAATTTGTATGAATCGATGAATCGTAATTACATGCAGTTTCGTGAATCAGGTTTTTTTGCTGTATCTCGGACATACTTCGTAAATGATATATATTTTTCTTTTGTTATCGGCAGCACATTGATCGAGCCTTCAAATGCATTTGCTATTTCCATGATAATAAAATGTGAATCGTAGCCGGATAAATTATGGAAAACTATTGGAATGTAATATGAATGTTTATAATTTAGATTGCACTTTGAATGCGCGGGACCTCTGTACCGTCCGGTGAGATGGCAATGATCGCGTACGCGTGTATCCTCTTTCTCGATCTCTTTCTCGCACACGTGACAGTGCGTTGCGCTATTAAATGTTTCCAACTGTTCGTTTGATAAAGTTTCCATGAGGACATTTGTTGATAAGACCAATTTTACGCGGTGCGCTAACTCTTCGATTTGCTCGACGAACCACGAGACGCAATCACTATCGCGACGGCTTCGAAAATACGATAATGCCTCGTCATACGAGCAATGTAAGTAATACGCTATGCTGAATACCGTATGACGCTGATACGCGTGCGATTTGTGATCCTCTTCCTCCTCGCTCGCAGTCTTCTGTAAGATGC